CATCGATGCGATGTCCAGTATCGACCAAGTGTGACAGGATCGATCTTTTTATGGACTTAATTTCCACCCTGCTGAACCAAGCTGGTAAATGTTTTCGAACTCGTAGACGAACCTGTTTAATCGTGCGCCTTATATAACTTGAACCACAGGAACAGTCGAAATGGTATATGCATGAAGAAGGGCCTAGCACGACGTTTGTCACACAAATACGACTATTTAGTGTGACACCCCATAACTAATCTGTTATTCTAAGTTAAGAAAATGTATCCACGGCATAACTGGCCATTATTGTAACGACAACAAATAATATATTTAATAATTGTAAGAACCTGAAGAGGAGAAATTATTGAAAAGAATATCCTTCCTTCAGATTGACTTTGAATTCATGGGATATGGGAATATCTCACACCATTAAATATTAACGACTTATCCTAGAATATTAACTGCTTTTAATCTCATCACTGTATAGACTGTCGTCATCCGTTTGATTGTAGTAATTAGAGGAACAAATTGAAATAGTTCCCAGTGGTTTATATACGAGAATGAGTTGAAAACACTCCTATAACACAACGATTATGGCCTTTGTGGGTATTTGCATAAATTTCAATTTTTAGACTCCATTGCAAACCAACATCAGTCAGTTAGAGAAATCACTGTAAACCATGGAATATTGGCCATCTGCTTCCTCCTAGTTTAGTACTCTTCATCAATGCACAGCTGCACATTCCTACCAGGGGTCGAACCCGGGACCTTCAGGTCATGGCACCAAGGTGATTGACCATTTAGCCACTTGGGCTGAAATTCAATAACCTGTGATTTCCAGCCTTTGTCACTTCGTAATATGGTGCTACTCTCAACTGATACTTTCGATGAAGCGACCCCACTACTGGTCACAGCGTCTCAGTACACAGCTTCAAGACATCCATCCACTAGGCATCATCAATGAACCAGAGATAGATGTATTAGATTATAGGAATTTGGAAGTTTAAGTATATTTCAATTGTTAGATCTCACACTACTAAAGTGTCCCAGAAAAGGACTAGACGGCAGTCAAAGGCTCCCTGATTTTGATGTAATTGTGTTCTCTGAGCTGGCTGGCTGGTTTATTTGCGAAGCTTTCATTGCCCTCCTACTAGGCAACATCTTCCTTCAGCGGATACTTCAGTTTGAAATGAAGTGATCTTTCAGATTTCTCCACGAGTTTACTAGTCATCTCTCGTGGTGACCACCTTGAACTTGATTGTTTGATTTTGTGTGTTTTCACGCCCTCTAGACTACTTGTATTGGTATTGGTGTTGATTGTTTCCTTGACTTGAACTTTAACCCTTTGCATGTGAGATTTCCTTCTTATCGATCGGTAAATTTTTTCTATCTCGATATGTCTGTTGATTGACAATTCACTATAATGCGAGACAGGCTTCTAAATATTCTCTAGCGCTCTTGGTGTTTCCTCTGTCTAATATTTGATTGCTGGTTGTCCCAGTGGAATTGATGTCCGTGGTTGTCTGTATGCAGCGAGGCGATATGAGTGAGGGAGTGGATGTGATGTCTTTTGACGACTAGTTTATGATCATGGATACGAAGACGAAGAGAACATTGTCTACTTTGGCCAATGTAGTGTTTTTCGCAGTCGTTGCAATTTATATTTTGTAGATGATGTTGGTTTTATCTTCTTTCGTTGTTGAGTCTTTTGGTTGTCATAGTGCTGAGTTCCAATACAAATACCCTAGAGGGTGTGAAAATATACAAAAACAACCAAAGAGTCACGTTCAAGATCACCCACCAGGACGAATGACCAATAAACTCGTGGAGAGATCTAAAAACTCACTTCAGTTCCAATTGAAGTATGCGCTGAAGATGTTGCCTAGTAGGTAAGGCAATGAAAGCTTCGCAAATAGACCATCCAACCAGCTCAGAGAACACAACTACATCAAAATCATCCACCTGAGCTACGAATCTTGTCCATCATATCTATCTCCCTGAATTTCATTAATTTCTACCGAAATGATGTTTTATGACGTAATTTTATTTTCCCCTAATCAAATTATTCATCTAGTTGATATTTATTTATTTTTTTATTTCCCTGTCTGTTCTAGGATGGTCATTATGTGGCGCATATTAAACGATCATTCTTAGCCAAGTGTATTCCACATGAACCACCTGTGTATCATGTTGGCTCGCCAATCTGTGGTGGCAGCGATCAAGAATGGATAATATTCAATGATGAAAAAGTCGCCAAAAGTGAATGTCCACCGCATCGTCATGCTTATCTCTACTTTTTCCGACGTATAGACGCTGATACTGATGCTGCCGCTGCCGCTGGTACACCGATGGCGACAAATTAAGTCTGTCTGCATATCTATACCCCGTACTATTCGAGTTGTTGCGCTTTAGATGTGACTTTATCAGCGCTCAGACAAACAGACAAACATAAAATAGTTTTTTTTGTTGGTTTTTATTTTTGTTCTGTTATTCAGTTGACAAATTGCTTCTTCTCTTTACTTGTTGCTGTTATCGTTGTGTTCCATTCACACTTATACTTGTGTTTCACGTTTCCGTCTTTTTTCCAAACGTTTGTTCACCAGCTGCTTGCCTCTTCTTCTTCTTCTTCGGTTTTTCTGTTAGGGTTTCATCGTCTTCCACCTGTTCTCCTTCTCCTTCTTCTGATAACGATCAATTCCATTTTTTGTAATCAACAATTTGATATAATGCACACACACATATATTTGATGAGATATTGCAGAAAGATTAAATTGTTTGATAAAATAAGCAATTTGATTTGCTTAGTTCTTAAAAAAAACGGAGAAAGTGCTGGATTGGTTTGTCTGTTCCTGTTTTGTTTGATCTTATTATTGTTTTTGCTACATTTGATGAGGGTGTGGATGGACTTCGGTCCGCGTCTTGAAATACTCTTATGTATGGGTATTTGTCCCAGGTAGGTTCTATTGACTGCCTTCCAACTGGAGAATATAAACGTCTAGTGCTCACAACAACTGGACTGATGGTCATGCAGGTGTGTCTACCTACCGCCTAAAGGAGCTGTGGAAAACACTGATTCCAAACCGATGTGGTGTACACTGATGCACTCTGGAATCAAGAACCGACCGAATGAGGGTGTATATGAACCTGTTCCGGTCACTGACAATCATGGGAACTTAGTTACTGACCCAGTTGACACTGCCCGCCACTGTCTTGTGTCAGGATCAGACTTTTTTTCCTTCACGTTCCCCAGTGGAACATAGGGCTTCAAGCTAGTGGCTTGAAGTTTCTGTAGCAGTGTTTATTTTACAGGATGGGGTTACTAGCCCTATGCCCAACCTTTCCTCTTCACCAGCATTATTTCTGGCTTAGAGAGGTAAAGGAGTGCGTCGGCCGGGGATCGAACCCCGGACCATGTGCATGGTCGACGAGCGTCCTAACCGCTATGCCACCGACGCACCAGGATCAGACTTCAAGTCCCTTAATCAACTACCACCTGCTTCAGTCTTGATATCAGGGCAGTAAGTGTCCCAGTCCATGTACTACATCTCCTAGTGCCTATAACGTAAAAAGTTTGTGTTTTAATACCAGGCTTAGAGGAGGTTATTTGTGAGCCTTGATGGTTCATAATTGGTAGCGTCCATGACTGCAGTACTGTTCGACACACGGGTACGAATCGTAGAGGTTGCAGATATACGCCTTGATGTGACAAGTGCCAACAAGCAAAGAATATTGGTCAGGTGGGATGGGGGTTTTTTGTCGTTTGTCTCCAACCACCGAACAGCAGTTCAAGGGTGCACCACTATGGCCAGTCACTTAACTGACATTGCAAACTTAATTGATAGCATTCGGTCAGAACCTTGGCTTTGATTTACTGTCTTGTGATCAATCAAAGCATAGGTTCCCTGTGTACCAGGAAGACTATACGAGGCACACAGGTGTTTAAATGAGAGCTGATAAAGCCAACTAGTTAGTAAGTGATCCAGTTTCTGAAGATGGCAGAGGGAGATTTGGAACTGAGAGAGATCCATTGATTGAAAGTTGAACACTCAAGTCAATGAAGCACTTTTCTCAGAAAACAGTCGTTACCTTTTTAGTTGTAATCAGGTAGTTGTGTGACTGTTATTATTATTATTATATTATTATTATTGTTTCCTTTAATTCCTAGAGGAACATAGGGCTTCAGCCGTGAGTCTCCATTGCGTTCGGTTCTCTGCTAAAGTTTTCACCTGGCTCTAAGCCTGCCCACACGTTTTCATCTCCTCTTCACATGACCTCCTCCAAGTCACCGCACCCTTGCACTGACGACCAACTCGCCGCTTCCCTTTTGGGTTCCACTCGAGCAATGGCTTGTCTAGTGATGTCACTTGATGGCTTGTTTCCTCAGAGTATGGCCAGCCAATCCATCTCCATTTCTTCCTGCCTATTTGTTTCACAATCGGTTCCTGCTCTGTTGGTTTGCTCATTGTCAGAGATCTCTGTTGCTGGTCTTTTCTGGCCGGCCATCTGATCTTGAGTATTGAGCGAAGACAACTGTAAATAAAGGTGTGTAGTTTGTTTGAGATGCTCTTTATGACGCGCTGGCCAAGTCTCTGATCCGTATAGTAGAACTGACTGACTTCACATTGGAGTTGAAAATCTGGATCTTATTTTTGATGCTGAGTGCTGTTGACCTCCTGCACACAGACTTGAGAGTAGTGAAAGCTTGTCTTGATTTTCCGATTCTTGCTTTGATATCCTTACCAGTGCCGCGTGACTGTTACTCTTACCTTTTCCTGTTTTATTTATTATTCTTTTGGGTTCCGAGTGGAACATTGGGCTTCACCAGCACATCTCCATTTCATCCTGCTTTCTGCAGTGCTGTTTAGTCCGCTGTATGATCGCCCGTAAGCTTTCGACTGTTCCACATCACCCTCGAAGTAACGTCTAACTCTCTCTTTTCCATTCACGTTCCAATCGAGGGTCTGCTTTACTATACATGAAATTAGAAGATTAAATATTAAACAGAAATTAATGACAAGCAATCTCAATTATTTTGTAAACGATTGTGCAACAGACAATAAGTCTCACCTTCCCCTTGATGTGGTTGTTTTCTCTGAGTTGGGGGGATGTAGACGTGCGAAGCTTTTATTATCCTCATAGACATCATTTTTAGTGCTTGCGTTGCACTGGAAAGCTTCGCAATTCAATCACTCAGAGTTAGTATATATTATTATATTATATATTATTATATATATATATATATAATATATATATATATTATATATATATTATATAATGTGGATGAGCGATGTTTATTGATCGCGTGACTTACTGTGTTTACATAATAATAATACTTTGTCTGTTTGAACTGATGATTATGTTGAGTCCACATGTGCATATCACTCATTCTTCACATAACACAATTTGCCAGTGTTCTTGATGACAGAATTTTAAGTGTTCCATAGGCGCTAACCTTGTCATGCATATCTGTACCCAAACAATTTGTTTTACAGTAATATATGACTTGTCTACTTATAAGTAGTAAGGTCAACCCTGATCTCATAAATTCATCACATTTAAATATACAGAATTATGTAAATCGTAATAGGTTAAATTTATGTAGTTGGTTATTGTGTCTTTAAATGGTTCAAAGGGTCAAGTTGAATTAGTATTTTCAGAGGGAGGGAGTCGATGAATACGTCTATCTATCGTTCATTGGTATTCATTGGCAAGTCGGTCTGTCTATTTTCGACATAGTACTTTGCGGTGATTTGCAGCGTTTCAAGTCGCCACACTCCATGTAGCACACCAAGCAAGGGAAGAAAGTAGAAGAAATGCAAAATAGGGATAGTAGACAGAGATATGAGACAAAAGGAATAGTGATATCGAAGAACAATATAGTTTCATTGGAAATTACAAGTCACAAGGAGTGGATGCATCTGCTCTATCCATTGAGAACGATGAGTTTGAACCATATCACCAGTTGTCCCTAGCCATTCGTGTTTACCGTCCCAAGGACCCCAACCAGTCAGGAAGTCTACACCTCCTTATGTGACTGGCTAGCTTAAACTAACTGTTGTGGATTTCATTGACTGATGAAGCCATGTTTTTGTTCGGTCACCACATGCATCTTCACCAGCCATTGACACCGATGAGTTTGAGCCATATCACTAATTGTATCCAGCCTTCATTGGTTCTTACCATCCCAAGGACCTTAACCAGTCAGCCACACAGTCTGCATCTTCCTACGTGGCTGGCAGTCTTTAACTGTTTTGAATTTGATTGATTGATGAAGCCATGTTCTGGTTTGACCACCAGTGGCGCTTTTCCAACCTGACCCTATGTTAGCTAACATTGCCCGTTACTCAAAGAAGGCGATCGATGGCTAGGTATACATGCGTTACACATGTCCTAACCATCTCAATCAATGCAACTTCACAAGCTTGTCGATTGATTTCCCCTTCTTACATAGCACTCACTGGACACCTAACCTCAATATTGCTCACCCTATTATACTACTTAACATGGGAGATAGAACGCAGGCGCAGCTAGTCTTATCATATATTGCATTTTAAATGGCCACGTCTCACAGCCATAGACGAGGACGGAGCGAACTGCTGCGCAGTACTCACGTCCTTTGGTCGACAGCCAGCCGGATATCACGTCTACTAAGCCAGAGGTGGCGTAAACTGGCATATGCGAAACGAGCCTTTTGTACCCATGATGAGATTTCCTCACCGATCAACCCGTTGGCATTGGCTGATGCAACTCGCCAAATAAGTGAAGTGGTCAACATGTTCTATCACTTCACTCCCTATTTCTAAGCTAGGAGTGAGTCAATGTAGTCCAGTCTTGTAGCATCATCTCACATTTACCGTAAGCGAATCGTATACCAAACATTCCCAGATTGCAGCCCAATGTGTTCTGAAGACTCTGCTCTATTTTGTCAGCATTTTCACCTAGAATGACTACATTTTCATCTGCATATTTTTATAAGTGAACGAGATTATTCCGTGGTAACAAATCAATCCATGAGTCGCTGCAGTCAGGAAGGAGTTAATTCCATTGGTACATCTATGATGAAATTGAATAGAAATGGGGATAGTGGGCATCCCTGTCGGAGACCACTAATTGTCAATTCGTTGACAAGATATATTTATCACTTTGAATTAATCCTCATTAGGAGTAAAATCGTGATGTTCGACTCTTATTGTCAAATCACCTACTTCCATGTTGTTCTGAGTTTCAGCGCGTTACGGAAAACTGTTCCAATTGGTCACTGTTGACTTTCATCAATATCTGCCTTTACTTCATACTGAATATCGGCTAGAAATGATAAGCGATAGAGAACTTTGACAACGAACCAACAAATATACCGAAGGAAATAAGGATGAGTTAGACACACACTGAGGAGACCGTTGAGTGACATTCTCTTGAATGGAGCCCGAATGGGAAACGATGAGTTTGGTGGTGACATGGGTAAGATGAAAGCCTATGGTCAATCATGAAGCCAGCTGAAAGGGACTGTAGAGAACGGAGTGGAATAGAGATATCCTATTGAGGCCTTATGCTCCTCTCGGTAACTGGCTGAAGTGTACCTCACTAACACTCGGCCCCTAACCTCAATCCTACTCACCCTATAGCGCCATCTAAAACACAAGGGAGACACAGAATGCAGACACCTATGGTGAAAGATAGCTAGCCAGCCTTTTCATGTCTTCCACTTTCAATGGCGGCCATGTCTCACTAACAATGATAAAGGAGGACGGAGTAGACTGCTGAGCGGTACACACGCCCTTTGGTTGATAGCCCACTGGCTATCACGTCTACTAAGCCAGAGATGGCGTAAGTTGGCTGGCCTTTTGTATGAGTGCTGAGATTACGTCAGCGATCAACCCGTTGGCGTTGGCTGACGCAACTTCCCAAACGAGTGAAGTGGTCAACACGCTCTACCACATCACTCACCTCTGTCTTCAAGCTAGGAGTGAGCTGATGTTGTCCAGTCCTGTAGCGTCATCTTACATTTGGCGGGAGGGAATTGCGTGGTAAACATTCGGAGATTGCAGCTGAAGGTGTTCAGAAGACTCTGCTCTATTTTGTCAGCGTCTTCGCCTAGGCTGAAGGACTATATCATCTGCATATTCTAAGTCAACGAGATTATTCCCTGATGGTAACAAGTCAGTCCCTGAAGTCAGTTAGGGTTATCGTATACTAGAAGTTGCGTTTAAATTAGACTTTTTAGGGCATTATCACTTTAGGCGTATTTTTTTTTCGTTGACACATTCAAACTAATTAAAGCCACTATAATTATCCCTTGTTTTGTGTACTCATTATTATTTTTTTTAGCAGAATGGCTGAAAAAGCAGACGATTTATACCTACCGAATGCAGTGCTTCTTCGAATTATACGTGATTCCGTAAGTTCCTCAATGTACAGGATCTTTTCATATTTAGTGTTTTGTAGAAACTCCGATTTTGAATTTTTTTTCGGAATCAAAATTCATACAAGGTTTTTCCCTGTTTTAAAAATTCTCTTCATTGTCATACTTGATGGCGACCTTCTAGTGGTATAGAATCCAGATTACCTCCCTCCTTTTAGTTCTGTTTTGGACTTGTTAGCCAGTTATTGACGCTGTACCCACTGAAACTCAAAGGGGCCACGGGATTCACCTCCTCTTGTGCATTGAATGATATGATCACTCACTTGTTTTTTCTTGACATATCTACAGTGTTACACTTTCGTTTAGGAGAAAGGGTGCACGGTAACTGCTATCCTGTGTGTAAATCCAACTCTTTATTTATGAACTAGCTGTAATTGATAGTTTTGATAGTGTAATTTATACAAATTATGTCTGCCATCTGAACCAACCTTTTCTATTGCCTTCTTGCCTTCTATTGTCCGCCTTCCTCGACAATGGACAATGTTAGCTGACATAGGATAAGGCTGGAAAAGAGCTAGTGGTGGTCAAACCAAAACATGGCTTCATCAGTCAATGAAATCCATAACAGTTAGTTTAAGCCAGCCAGTCACGTAGGAAGGTGTAGACTTCCTGACTGGTTGGGGTCATCGGGATTCTAAGAACAAATGGCAGCTTGAGACAACTGGTGATATGGCTCAAACTCATCGTTCTCAATGGCTGGCGCAGATGCACCCACTCCTTGTGACTTATAATACCCAGTGGAACTATACTGTCCTTCGATACTACTATTCTTTTTGTCTCAAATCTCTGTTTACTGTCTCTATTTTACATTTCTTCTACTTTCTTCTCTTGTTTTGTGTGCTACATGGAGTGTGGCAACTTGAACTGGTGCACATCAGTGCAATGTTCCATGTTGAAACCAATCAGTCAGTCATTACCTTCTGGCATTCTCGAATTGGTGTTTATTTTGTTATTTCCCCTCATTAGAATATTTCTAATATCAGTTGAGTGTGTGCAGGGTTCTTATTACTTTTTCACTGACGCCAGTCTGCATACTACTTATAATTATTTTTAAAAGTAATATGTAGATATATATCACAATTCGTGAATAGACCACTGAGGGTATCATTACGACACGACTAGATACCTTAAAATATATACTCACTAGATAGTTGATCATCAATTTAACGATTTCTTGAATATTGTAGTACAGAAACAGACAAATCTGACTAAACTATTTTGAATTATGACACATCGTAACCGCTAGCCAATGTCCTCGGCGAGTATTTATCCTCACACCCAACCTACTGCATCCTACTGGTCAGGAATTCCCACTAGAACACTAGGTCAACTACCTACCTGAATAGGACCAGTCACTAGTGAACATTTCATTCATATTCAAGTATTGGTTTGTAGGGATTTGATTGATTGGTTTCAGGATTTCATCATGAGCTGATATCGGTTAGAGAACCATTGGAAAACCAGCTACAGGACGTACTGGACAGCTGTTTTGGCGAGCTGAAGAGTTCCCAGCTAGGACGAGACATCTGGACAGTACTGTCAGGTTTTCTAATGCTTCTATAAGTGATGTCAGGTCATGATTAAATCCTTTAACCAGTCAACCAAATCCCTACAAACCAATACTTGAATATCTTAAATTAGATGGCGATCTGAAAAATCAGTTAGAGGATCATTGAAAAGCGGATAGTACTAGACAAATATTTCGTCATTGTTTTGGTCCCTTTATAAGTACGCGCCCATCACGAATAGAACCTCGAACCTTTGGATGACAAGGAGAACCCGTTTACCATTCAGTCATTGAAATGAAACTCTAATGAGAAAGTATGTGAGAGTCTTATGGATACGGGAGGTCATAGAGAGCGGATTCATCTGTGCTATTTAGAACGATTTTCAACTATATCACCGATAGTCCCCAGTCACTGATTCTTAGCATCTCAAAGACCCTCCTACATGAGTCACATTCAGTGTCTGAATCCGGTTACCCGGTGCAGATATTTCATGTATCAGGCGAAGAGTCACATTTACCATTTGAGGGCTGATCATATTACCCAATTACCCAAGCTGAAGTAGATAGAGATTTGAACGCGTGAACTATTGATTGACTGCAGACCGAATACTTCAGCCGATAAATCATGTCCCCGTTAACTAACAGTCGAAAACTTCATGAATGATTGTTGATATCAGTTTTGCCCTACCTAACTCTCTTTTCCATCCTAATCTTATGAAAGCTAACATATTGCCCATCAAGGAAGGTGGTGGTTTGGCATGTGCAAAACATGTCTTAGCTATCTATCTCAATCGATCGAGATCCGCAACCTCATTGACTAACTTACTTTCCTTATCTAGTACTCGACGCCTAACTTTAATATCGCCCACCATATGATGCCCACTTAATATTTGGTACGAGTATTGTGTGAAGAGACGAATATCAGAAAAGAACTTTTACAACTTTTAAATCATTAACTATACTATAAAATGTAATGATGCATATTATTGCATGTGTGATTTGTTATATTATTTATTTATTATTCACTATGACCTAGAAATGGTGTATTTTTGTTGGTTTTTTTTATTTTTTCCTATTAATTATCAATATTTTTAACATTTCAAACATTTATATAAATATAAAAAGAGCTAAACCGATGCAATATGTAAAATGAAACGCTGAAAATTCCATGCTGTAAATTGTTATTGTTGTGGAATAAAGTGATTATTATTATTATTATTATTATCTGTTTGTATTCGACATAAAACTTTGCACCGATGTGCGGCAGTTCAAGTCGCCACATTCCATGTAGCACACAAAGCAAGAGAAGAAAGTAAAAAGAAATTCAAAACAGAGACGGTAAACAGGGATATGAGACATAAGAAATAGTAATAACGAAGAACAATATAGTTTCATTGGAAGTCATAAGTCACAAGGAGTGGATGCATCTGCGTCAGCCATTGAGAACGATGAGTTTGAGCCATATCGCCGATTGTCTCCAGCCTTCATTGGTTTTTACTGTCCCGAGGACCCGAACTAGCCAGGAAGTCTACACCTTCCTACGTGTCTGGCCGGCTTAAACTAACTGTTGTGGATTTCATAGAATGATGAAGCCATGTTTTCGTTTGACCACCACCACTACCTAGCTCTTTTCCAGTCTCACCCTATGTCAGCTAACATTGCTCGTCAGTCGAGGAAGGTGATGACTAGGCATACGACTTAATAGGTGGAGGGGATGAACGTCAAACATCTATGGTCAGAGACGCCTAACCTACCTTTTCGCATCTTCCACTTTCAATCGCTGTGTCTCATAGGCCAGAAATGACATAATTTGGCTAATGCGCGGCATTCTGTGTGTCAACAATCAATCGTTAGATTTATCCGTTTCATATATTCACTTGCTTAAAACAAATTGATTTCATGCCACTTTCATTTTTGTTGGGTTTTTTTTCTTTATCATTCTCAGCTACCTGAACGAACGATAGTCAGTCGTGAGGCACGTTCAGCTATCAGTAAATCAGCTAGTTCATTTATTCTCTATGTCACTTCACTGGCTAGTGTTCACTGTGAAAAGTCGAAACGTAAAACGTTAACTGGAAATGATATACTGGCTGCTTTGAAAGAAATGGAATTTGGTCATTTTATACCAGCGTTGAATGCGTTTCTAGAAAGTGAGTACGATGGGTAGGCGGAGGCCTTGTTTTCTATTTTCTGTATACGTAATAATAATAATAATAATAATAATAATAATAATAATAATAGTGTAATGACAGAATACCAAGGGCCAGGAAACAGATCGTTTATTGAGAAAATCAATAGGTATTTATAGATTTTTATGTATACTATTATTAGCGTTATTTTTAGCACAGAAGCAACATCCTCTGACTGGTTGTTTTCTAGCCGAAGGTTATTCTGTAGTGCCTGTGACTGTTTCTTAGAAAGTTAAGCCATATATCTGCGAATCGTATTTGCACACATTAAGTATGCTGTGATTAGTTGGTGAGTTCCTTACAGCTTACCACAATAGTAATAGCTTTGCTCGGAACAGCGTTTATATAATGTACAGATTTTTTTAGCCAACTTCATTGTATGATAATTTCCCTTCGTCCAAGATCTTCGAATATAGCGTTAATTGATAGTAGATCGTGTGACATAGTGCTATTTGACCTCGTGAGCAAACTGACCCATTATCATATCGCCCTTTTGTCTCTTTTGAGAAATTTACGACATTTAATTGAATGCTTATTGTAAAATGTTCGGGAGTACATCTTGTGAAGTTAAGACAATTCTCAGGAACAGTTTTATCCCATCTGCTGGGATAAGTTGCTGTCTGGGATAATGCTTTTTCTCATGTGTCGTGGAAACTTGCGGATCATCAGATTTTAAGCACCTTAAATACTCACCAGTGTTAATAATACCTCCATAGTTCATATTTTAATCCATTAAAACAAAGCTAACAAGCGAAATCATATGGAATGTAGTGAAGGAGGAGTATTCTATTGATATAGTTGTGTTCTCTGAGCTGACTGGATGGTTTATTTGCGAAGCTTTCATTGCCCCCCCCCCCCTACTAGGCAAGATTTTCAGCGCATACTTCAACTTGAATTGAAGTAAGCTTTTTTAGATTTCTCCATTAGTTTATTAGTCATCTCTCCTGGTGGGTGACCTTGAACGTGACTCTTTGGTTGTTTTTGTGTGTTTCCACACCCTCTAGGCTACATGTATTGGTATTGGTGTTGATTGTTTCCTTGACTTGAACTTTAACCCTTTGAGTGTGAGATTTCTTTCTTATCGAATGGTAAATTTTGTCTGTGTCGATGTGTCTATTTATTGACGATTCCTCTGTGTAATATTTGAATGCTGGTTGTTCCAGTCGAATTGATGTCCGTGGTTCTCTGTATGCAGTGAGGCGATATGAGTGAGGGAGTGGATGTGATGTCTTTTGATGGCCTGCCAGTTTATGTTCATGGATACGAAGACGAAGAGAACGTTGTCTACTTTGGCCGATGTAGTGTTTTTCGCAGTTGTTACAATTTATGTTTTGTGGATGATGTTGGTTTTATCTTCTTTTGTTGTTGAGTCTTTTGGTTGACAGAGAGCTTGCTGAGTGAAGTGATTTTGCTGGTTTGTGTTCGACTTCAATTCCTAAAGGTTTGAAGAGTCTTGCAGCGATTTCTGGGATGTCCTTTATGCATGGTAAGGCGGTTTTCTTTGTGCTTTCCACGAGTGCCTTTGATTTGATAGGTTGGCTTGGGGATAGAGGTCTTTTGATGAAATTCCGTGGATGTGCATTCTTTTGGAAGACGTCCATGAGATATCTTTCTTCAATTTTCCTTAAGATGGGAGTGCTAAAATGAGTCCCGACCCACATGAATAGTGTGTGTATACAACTCCTTTTGTATGCTATTGGATTGTTGCTGTTGTAATTGAGTATTTGGTCCGTATGAGTTGATTTTCTCTAAACTTGAGTTTCTAATTTTCCTGTGGTTGTTCTCTTGACTAAGACGTCCAAAAATGAGGCGAATAGTAGCCCAAAACTTTAAGCAGACTACAGTGTAGAATCCGAGCTATGAATGTTTAGATTGGTGGTAGTGAAGCAGCGTCGGTGCTGCTTTCCCACGATTTCTGGTGATGAAAACAAGTTCATACGCCATTCAATCTGTTCGGATCCTGGACCCCATGTACACCGAATAGTTTTGAAATCGGGGTTTTCCAACTCTCCTAGGTAGATTTCTATGTCACCTGTCTGGTTGTAGGCGCCAGACGACGTTCATATTCGCGCTTTCACTTTCGTGAGGAACACCCCCACCGTATGAATGTAGCGAATAAAACTTGCCCTGTAGAGGCTATGAACATGCGTGGTCACATGAAATCATTTCGAGAGGAAGGGAACTGAAATCCTCTCATCCTTGACCTTACCAGGATGTTAACAGGGGCCATTTTGGTCGCACTAATTAAATATTTGGTCTCTTGCACATACGAATGTTATGAGTGATTCAACCAATTATGAAAACGATCCTGACGAAACTGTCACCTGAAGTCCTTTCTTGAAATATTATGAGAAAAGTTTCTCGATAGCTTTTTACTACTTACTAATATATAGTAGTGTGATTAATTTCAAAAAATAATTAAATGTTGACATTTTATGGCAGACGGTAAGGTATATTTTCAAGTGATCAAACAGCTATTTATATATATATATATATATATATATATATATATACAGTTTATATTCCTTAACCAATTACTGAGCGTGTGATTTTGGTTTACATCAAACGACATGAAATAGAATGTTCAAATATACATTTAGTATTCTGTTGCTAATGCACTATTGAACTGTGGGAATAGTATTCAGACGTTAACACCAACAAATACAATGATTCTTACAGTGAGAGTAACGTTCCGTCGGAACCCATTGTCTATTTCCCACCATTACAATGTGTTTAATGGGGTAGATACTTCATTTTCGTGTAGATATGGTTAAGAACCGACATCAGTTAAAGGATCACTAAAAAACCAGGGGAACCGTGTACGTGTGACCTCGTACAGCTGAAAGGTGGTCGGGTTCGCTTTTTTCCTCTCGAAATGTTCTCATGTGCTGGATACACGTTCTTAGCCTCTGTCATGTACGTCTAATTCATTGCCTCAAGAAAGTAAAAGGGTGAATCCCAACGTCCAGCACTTGTAAGCGAACTGGTGAAGAGAGCTGGGAAATCCTGATTCCAAAGCTATGTGCAGTGTACATGGACTCCAGAATCCGGATGGATGGAGTGCAGTATGAACGTGTTTTTGTCTCCTGATTTTTCTCCACTACCTCGTGTCACGATCAGACTTTAATTTATTCTCGAGGGGAGGAGTGGACGACCATCTGTTTTGTTTTCGATAGCCTGGGCAGTATCTAAGCCGTCACAAAAATTTTGAGATTTTTTGTGGCGCATTTTCTTGGTGCCTATAATGTACCAAATTTGTGTTTTATTAGTAATAGTGTAACGAAGAAGACAAGGGTCAGGCAACAGATCGTTTATTTAGGAAATCAACAGATATTTTTAGATTTTCATGTACATTATTATAGATTATTGTAAGCAAACAAACACGGTCTTCTGATTGGTGGTTTCTTGCTGAACGTTAATCATCTCTTTGTGGCCGTTTATTGAAGTTCAGATTATCTATCTGCAAATTGTGTCCGACTACGCAAAGTTGGTTGCTGAATCAGTCTTTGTTCTTATTTTTCTCACGACCAATATTGGGCACGTAAACATTAACGTCAATTACTGTCTACCAACTTTGGCTAGCAGCCAGCTCTCACCACAATAGTATTAATCACAGCAACAATAAGGGAGCACTGGGTGCACTAGGGATGGAATTCAGGTGCCCGTTGACAGTTTAATCACTAGGTTGGATCTTAGTGACCTGTAAATTTGGTTAACTCACGACATGATGCTACAGCACTAACAAATGATACCATCGATTGACACCCCACTGACACGACCAAGACTTCTCAACTGTCTACCGCTCGGTTCGTGACGTTAGGCTTAGTTGGAGTTGGCTTCATTTACTCTCGGTTTTTATTGTTTTCCTTCTCTTACAGAGTATCGTGAACAAACAACTGCGAGAAAAACGCATAAACGTTTACACAGTGAAATTGAAGAGGGCAAAACCAGTAACCAGTTGATTAAGAATCCACCATCCTCCTCCTCCTCCTCCACCTTAGTAGCATCATCATCGTCATCATCGTCTACAATGATACCGAGTTCTAAACTCTTCAGAGATAACAACGTTGTCTCCTCATCAGAGATTGAAGAGGAGAATCTGGACGAGAATGATCCAAACGATGAAGATGTAACTGATGAAGAAGTAGAAGTAGTCGAAGTTGAGGATGAAGAAGAAGAGGACGTTGTGGAAGTCGATGAAGTCTATGCAGACGTAGGAGAAGGAGAAGAAGAAGCAGTTGAAGTAGACGAGGTGGAACCAGATGAAGATATTCATTTCAACGAAGAGAATGTAGGCCATGACCAAGGAGTAATTGTCATTGCTGATGATGACAACAGTTCACAGAAGACAGAAGCTCTGAAAGAAAATGACGATTCTGTTTGATGATTTTGTTCTTCTGTAAATGGAAAGGTGTGTGTAGAGTCGACTGTCTATTCTTTTTTCAACTTCAGTGCATTTATTTTATATATAAACTAGGATTGTTGAATAAACTAAATAACTAACTAACTAACTAACTAATTGTCTTATCTTTTATTATTTTTTACCAAGAGTTTCTTTGTGCTAGTTAGATTTTGTGTATTTTTCATGAAAGCATTTCAAGTTATTATTATTGTCACTATTATGTAAAATGTCTAGAAAAAATCATTACTTCGATATTTTTGTGCGTGTGTGTGTACATTGGGATTGTCAAACAAAAAGGGGAATTAATTAGGGTTATTTAACTGGTGGATGGTGACTAGCGGCGGTGGAATCCAGGACAACGCACATTTCGTCCTATTTGGGACTCGTCCTCCATCTGGATGTACCTGCATTCCCCAGTCATTGGTCTGGTCTGGATTCAACATAGAACTTGGCACCGAAGTGCAGCAGTTCGAGTTACCACGTTCCAAATAGCACACAAAGGTACACAAGAAGATGAGTGATGAAGAGAATCAATAGAGTTTTGACAAGTATAAGAGTGAAACAGAATGAGTAATGGTAGAAAGGAATATGAAGGTTAAAGAGACTGAATACATCTGAGTAAGCCATTGACAACGATTTTGAGCCATGTCACCTATTTTCTCCAGCCGTCGATTGATCCTTAGAGTCCCGAGGGCGGGCCCCAACCCGGAAGTCTGCATCTCCCTCCCTACCTGACTCAGTTTAACTGTCAATGATTTCATGGATTGATGAGGCCATGTTTTTGTTTGGCCACCACTTACTCTTTTCCAACCTGCACCTATATCAGCTAGTAATGCCCGTCTTGGGAGGTGATAGTTAGGCATACGCAGCACGTGACCTAGCCATCTCAATCTATGTAACTTTATAGCCTCTTCGAGTGATTTTCCCTCTTTGCCCAACACTCTATGCCTGACGTCAACATTACTTACCTTATTATACCACCTAATGTGAGAAAGAGATCGTCGACATCTATGATCAAAAAGAGACAACCTTTTCATGTCTTCAACTCTTATTGGCCATGTTTCAGAGCCATAGAGAAGGACGGAGCGAACTGTTGAGCAGTACACACGTACCCTGGTTGATAGCCGGATGTCACGCCTAAGCCAGAGATGGTGTAAGTTAGCGAAAGCAACCGGAGCTTTTTGGATCCGTGATGAGATTTCGTCACCAATCAATCAGTTGGTGCTGATACAACTTGCCAAATAGGTGAAGTGGTCAACATGTTCTATCACTTCACTCCCTATCACTTAGCTAGGAGTTGACGTAGTCCAGTCCTGTAGCAGCATCTTACATTTCACAGGGGCGAATCGCATGCCAAACATACGAAGATTGCTGCTCAAGGTGTTCAGAAGACTGCATTTTGTCAGCATCCTCCCCTAGCACGACTATTTCATCTACATATTCTAACTCCGTAAGACTATTCCCTGGTAACAAGTCGATTCCTAAGTCGTTTAGTTCAGTTAACGATACTTCCATTAGCATATCTATGACGAAGTTTAACAGAAAAGGGGAAAGTGGACATCCTTGATGGACACCACTGGATGTTATCAACTCAGATGACACTTCCCCATAAGCCCTTACATGGCTACGTGAGTTTGAGTAATACTTGTGAGTCATTGAGTGATGTTCCCTTCGAGGCTCAAACCCAGTACCCATAGTTTCAAACGCCAAAGCATTATCCACCAGACCACTTGGGCCATGAGCGCCACTGCCTCTTGTTCAATGGGTCATATTAATTATTTAATTGAATTTTAGATTTTCCCGTCGATTGATTGGACCGAAGTGCGCATCCTGGATTCTACAGCCGCTAGTCACCATCCACCAGTTCAATTCTAACTACATGCCCAGACATCGTCGAAGTGTCTGCACAAGAAGCCGACAGATATGTCAACCTGAGACCGAGCACTTCGGTCCAATCAATCAATCGACGGGAAAATCTAAAATTCAATTATATAGTTAGATTTATTGTTTATGTCATCAAAATTTTTCTTAAATGTGATGAATGATCAAAATTGTAACAAGGAGGGCGGGGGGTTGGAGGAAGATTAGTAAGTATTGACAAGGATTGCGTAATGCGAAATAGGATGTTAATGGAGACACGTGTCCAAAAATGAATTATGTAATAGGTAGAACGAGTAAATAAAGGGTTACTAAAATGTCATACAAAAATTCGAAAATCAAAACATTACTAACAGAGTAGTAGAACTTGGAATTGTACACAAGGTAGAAGGAGGGAGTGGAGAAGTTTCTTCTGTGTGTGAATAAATCAGGGTTTTATACCTAGATCATTAAGGCCTCGGCAATGCAGAGTATGCGGAGGCTAATCGTTTTCGAGAGGCTTCTTCTGACCTTGTTGTAGATGACTTTGAATGAATTCGCCTTACACATATTGAGTGACCAGTGTTGAATATATGTCCAATTATATAGCACTCCTTATTGATCCACTGTTACCTTTTCGTAACCAAGTGGGACAATGTTCTTTGACTGTTTTAGATAAAACGCTCATCGAACGATCTATATATCTGTCTCACTCCACATGAGCAATTAAAGGGATAGATATTTATTTATCGCTAATGGTGTGGTGAGAGCTGGCTGCTAGCCAAAGTTGGTAGACAGTAATTGACGTCAATGTTTATGTCCCCAATATTGGTGGTGAGAAAATGAGAACAAAGGCTTTGCGCGGGCAGATACAGTTAGCATATGGATGATGATCTGACACAGTCACAAAGAGATGTAAGGTTAACTTTATGTGAGAAATAACCAATCAAAAGACTGTATTTTCTACTAACAATAGTCTACAATAATGTACATTAAAATCTATAAATATGTGTTGATTTCCTTAATAAACGATCTGTTGCCTGGCCCTTGTCTTCTGTTGTTACAATGGTGTTATGCTGAATAGAGCTCGAGGAGGACGAGTGGGGTGTTTTATGAATCTCCAAGAAAGCCTTCCATACCAAAAATAAATAAATAGAAAGTTATTGATTCCATATTAGTTTGTTTATTATTCGGTGTATCACACACAGTGAGTGAAACGGCATTATTTACTGTCTTACTCCTGTATTCACTTCCAAGGTCTCTCTGAGTTTTCCGTTATGGATTACCTGACATGTAGCGTTGTAGCTGTTGAATGGAGTTGATAGAGATTTGGGGCATTGTACTCTATGGTGTTGAAGCAGTTTCTAAATTACTTCTCGGTCAACGTTGGCTGTTGAAGGCCTTTTCAAAGTTAATAATGCTTTCCAGTGAAGACTATGCTTTTTGATGTACTCGAGTGGATTAATGCATAGATAGATCCGTCGATATTGAAGATAAAAAAGAACTATCTCAGCTGTATGCTGAATATGACTATTCTTTCTCAATATTCCGCGGAGTGACTCTTTTCAACGAATTTATTACCAATTTATGCAATCGTATATATATATATATATATATATGTATGTATATATATAAGACGTTGTATGCTGTGACGAAACTTAGAGAGATAGTGTGAATATCTAAAACATCGATAATGTGAAATCGTGGAAAATACCCATCGGAACATTAGACTGAAAAGAACAAGAAGTTCAGCAAGTACAATCGCATTTATATAGATTAGTTCACATGGATACAATTATTATTTGCTTAATTTCACATAGTAACGAAGGTGATAATAATTTTAAACTTGATATGAAAGTTTGAAGGTACGAATATAAATTACAAGGGGCTTAGAGACAAGATCGCATAGGATTAGAAAACAGCTACAATGTATGCAAAATTAATATTTGATAACTGGAGAAATAATAATTTTAAAGGCGAATAAAAGGTGACAGTTATTTTCAATTTGATATGAATTACAAGAGGCTTAGAAGCAAAAAATTACGCGGGGATAGAACGAATTACAGGTGTGAACAAAGTGAGCGTGGAAACAAATTGAAATAATAATTTCCAACTTTAAATGTAAGTTAGGAGGTGAGAATATAGATTCCAGGAGGTATAGAAACAAAAAGAGCAGGTGAACTGATATACCCTCTTGCGGAGCTAGGTGCATAGGTCGTTCTATGCGCGTGCTTTCAAGACGTGTTAGAGAACATCATCCAGCATGGCTTCAAAGAGGAGGCGCTGGTTCAGTCAGAAGCGCCATAACTGGACGCCTCGTCAATACCTGTCACAGAATCCCAACCGACTCATCATTTAGAGTCATTTACAAAGTAAATAAAAATCTACCAAAGGCAGTGTGTTTCCGACTTCTTTGTACTGCAGAAGCTCTCTTCATATGCATCAAAAAGTTGGAGCTGTGTGTTCAGAAGAAACTAGTCCAGCCTTTACAACTACCGTGGAGCTAGTTCGGTATGCTCCCTTATCCTTCAGTTTTTTTGTTTTGTTCTCTCTGTATGTAATTTTCTCTCTTTGTTTTCATTCAATTCATCCCACTTTTTTCAGTTATAAAATCAGTTATTTTAAGTTTGTTTCCATGCTCCTCCTGATCACACTTGTAATCCGTTTAGAGTAGCTATTTTACAGTTATATTCTAATCCTGTGCAATTTTTGTCTCTAAGCCTCTTGTAATTCATATCTAATTGAAAATAACCGTCACCTTTTATTCGCCTTTAAAATTATTATTTTTCCAGTTATCAAATATTAATTTTGTATACGTTGTAACTGTTTTCTAATCCTATGCAATCTTGTCTCTAAGCCCCCTTGTAATTTATATTCGTACTTTCAAACTTTCATATCAAGTTTAAAATTATTATCTCCTTCGCTACTATGTGAAATAAGGCAGATACTGTGAAATACGATCAAAATGCTTGTGATTATAATCATAGTTCACAATATCAAGTGATAAAATAAATAATGTCGTATATTGAGAATAGCTCACATAGTAACCAAATCAAACAGATAGATGAAGCGTTGGTGTTAAATAACTATCCAATAAAATTCATTAGGAAGATCAAAAATGGCCAAAAGCAAAATAAAAATAATGGTGAAAA